GAACAAACGTTGGAGAGTGGGTAAATATTACTCGTAATTCGGTATATTACTCCTTTGTTACAAAATTATTTCAATTATCTTGAATTTTTTAACTTGACAACAAACGAACCAAAATGCATGAATGGAACTGTACTTATTTATTGAATTACTAGAAACAAATGTGTGTACAATGATTCAAAATTAAATACCGCGGAATCGATGCATCTAATTTTTGAGTCATTATGAACAGTCTGACAACTATTATTCTGGTGGTTATCAACAGGATGGCTCGTCGTTGCCTGAATAATGCAATATTTTTGTGCTATACTTGTGGGAATTTAACATTTATAGTACACAATCATTCAAAAACTCATTTTATAAAGAGAGCATATATTTATTTTGGATGAAGAATCACAAATCAGAACAAGACGTGGGCACCACATATATAGTATGTGTATTTAATGCGCAACACGCATTTGCAGCTGAATTGTTGTTGAGAAATGTGCCGTATCGTTTGTCATTTCTGTGGTGTGGAGGAAAACCTTAAACCATAACGAGTGTTATTATTGCATGTCACCTGTACGTGGAATGAAGAGAAAGGAAAGCGTGAAGTACAATATGCCAATATCTCGTCTACAATACAGCCTGTTCCGCACGAGGAAAATTTGTCAATGCCGGATTCACGGAACAGTAAAGGCCCATTCACAATGCAATAAGCATGGCGTTAACATAAAAGTTAATACTTGGTCCATAAGCCGACACCACAATGCGTTCGCATAAGCATAACACGTGAGACGTGAATTTAAAAGCTTGCAAGCTCCTGTACTTATGCTGAAGTAAGGCATAAAAAACAATCGCAGGACGTTAACTACAATTCGAGTATCGAAATAAGATGGCAGTCGACAGACGAACTAACGCCATGTACCATGAGCCATGGCCCCAGTCGATAACTCGATTCTCACATCCAACCAATAGTAAACTAGAATCTCATAGTCAATAGAAACTTATTTTGCTTACTTTTATGTTATACATTGTGAGTACGCCAGACAATCACTTATATAAATGTTGACGTTTATGCATTATGCTTATGTTTGAATTGTGTATGGGCCTTTATAGTTTAGATACAGGAAAGAGAGAGAGATTTCGACGGTTCTCAGACAGAACATTCAGATCTGAATGTTTCTAATGAATCATCTGAATCATGGCATAAAATATCAGATTTTAATTATGTAAATCGTAAATTAGTTCTTCCAAAAGGAAAGACTGAACTGATAGTTTTCCAGATTTAAACAGTGAAATGTTTTTGATAATTATTAGTCATGGTCAAAGACTTTGAACAATATTTTATGAGAGAGTTAATACAGTTCCCTGCAGAGATATATGGGGTTCATTTGTTGCCTTTAATAGAAAACAATGAAGTGCTTGGAAGTCTGTTATTAGTCTCAAAGTAGTCGTTAATGTTGTGAAGCGGTAAGGTTCTGAAATATCTCTGAGATTCTGAAGAATGGAATTGTTTTACCTTCCTTACCTGTTGCTGTTGCACTTAATACACGAGTATAAGAAAGTTACATGAGCGTGAATCAAATATGGATGCGCGTATACTACAACAATCACCGGTGATACATGCAGACATTGATAATGAAACTAGCATATTGAAGATGTTGTTTACATCTACGTAAATTGGACAGCACAACGAAGGCTGATCACTCCGTGAAGTTTGGCCACCTACGAAGGCCCTAGAGCTAGGAAAAAACACTGTGATTCAAACACAGATTTTAAAATCTATGAATATACTGTTACTGCTTCTGATCTTTAGGTTAGGTTCAATAAAATATTTTTTGGTGATAAATCACATTGCACAATGCATTTTTATATCTTGAATAGAAATTCATGAAACTCGGCGATAAAAAATACGAGAATGTGTTGTTTTACGAGCGTAGACATACGCTTACTTCTCAGGAATGAGGCACTTCAATGCAACATTGTGGTCAATGACAAAAGAGCGCGGCGTTCATTCAAATAATTGACGACTGTCTAAGGAATAAGAGAGCAAATGATTGTGAAGATCTCGTAGAAAATGTGCTGACATCGTGTTATAAACTGGGTAGCATTATGTCTTTGAAGATCCACTTACTACTTATTTATTTTTTTCTTTCAAAGAATTGTGATGCTGTAACCGATAAACATGGATAACAGATTCATCGTGATATTGCAACAATGGTGTCGCGATTTAGAGGTATTTAGAGTCCATTAATGCTTGCTGATTAGTGGTATTACTATTATTAGATGTCAGTATCGCTGCCATAAACAATGACCAGATTACATCGTTGTTGGTTGCAGTATATCAGTGCAGAATATCAAGTAACAGATTTCTCCGGAAGAAGAGCTAACAAAGTAAAAGCATTGTCATTATTGTGTCCAGTTAGTAGATTTACTCTAGACCTAACGCATTTCGATTCATATACAAAAATGGTTCAAATTGTAGCGCAGTATAACTGGATAAAGACTTATGAATGGCGAAGCTTTTAGACGAAATAAGACTAAAACGTTATTTCTAAATTGAAACGCTTTGAAAACATGTGCAGAAACAATAACTGGTTTCAGCGTCAGGACGAGAACTTTACACAACACAGATATATCAGAGACTTTTGTGTTGTGAATTACATTCCATTACCGATTGTGAATGTAGGACAATTAATAAATATAAATTGAATTTAGGAACACAGGTCAAGTACGACACTCTGATGTTACGTTGCTTTCTTATTTCGAAGTTTCGTGGGTTCTTAACCTCCCACCTCTTCTGAAATGAATATCAACATTATAAAACGATCCAGTATTATATAACCTCATAGGCAGGGCAACTGAATTACAATAATACACACCTAAAGCAAGTACAAAACATGGTCATGGACTATGTTGACGAGTGCATGACACGCGTAAATTTTCACGTCTTTTTCTATTATAGATACGTTGTTGATATTCTTCCGTGTTTGTGTTAACCCTATTGACCAATTACTTAAAATCCAATGTGACGTTCATATAATCGTTCTTAATTTACTGTGGAAAATGAGTCAGTTAACAGAGCGATTTGCTTCCTAAACTTAAAACTTATTGTAAAAAACAATCTATTCATCAGAAAGAGGTGTTTGGCTAGACAACGATTTTAATTTTCTCTCAACATACTCAAAATCAAGAACTTGTCTCGGTTTCAACTTGGTAGACTTTACCATTGATTTATCAGATCCCATGTTCCATCAAGAAAACCGTACTATTGTTTACAATACCCTATCCTATCCTAATACCCTGTCAACCATTATCCTATCACTATTCATTGTTTGTAACGAATCGAAAACGGAAAAAGGTTATATTACTTTGTAACATCATCATTCCATCTGTTAGTGTTTAAATATCACTATGAATACATTTTCGTCAACTATTTAATCGTATCGAACCTGCTGTTAACGCTGTCACTCGCAACCCAGAATGCCTTCCATGCTTAGTTTTATATAGATAATCATTGTTTAAGTCCAAATTTTATCATGTTTTTGTATATCTTGAACTTGGTTTAGGTATGTATAATTATAATAAATTTGTTCTGTCTATGAGGCTATGTAATAGTGGATCTCTCTAATCTTAATATCCATTCCAGTACCAGAAGAGATGCGGCGTTTAACACCCACAAAACGTCGAAATAAAATAAAATAAAGAAATCCCCTCCTCATGATGTCGTTATTTCACGTGTCCTCTTAAGACCCCGAATTTACTTTATAATATTAATTAAGGTCTTTCAAAAAAAGTAATCACATTTGTAATCTGTAATAATAAATTTTGTAATTTGTTTACGCTACATAGAAACTATTTTATTGAAGGGAAGATTAGTTTTACATGTTTTACATTAATATTTACATTTACAATTGTGGGTATTGTAATGGATTAAAGGCCTTCGCCCTAGCCACATAGGATCAAGTAAGCTAATTTGTTTGTAATAATTGGCTATTAAATAAAAATAAATAAATGTTTTACATTAAGACGTGATAAAACTTCATTTGATTACGAAAATATTCGAGTAACTTATGGCAACTCTGTCGTTTTTTAATCGTGTACCAAAAACCCTACTGCAAAGCTTATATTCTTTTCTATTTCGAATTAGTTTCATGTCGCACTAGATTTTCGTATTTAGTACATTCTCAAGGTATATTACTGCTTCTCTACTAGAATGTTTGAACTAAATAGATCATAAAGTTAACAAATTAAATTAATAGCAAAGTACGTTTTAAATAATCTCTATTGGATAGAGCTTCCTTATTAACCAACATTCCTATTAATCTCTTTCATTACAAGTTATTAACGATATGGAAGTTTTGTGCTCCGACGGTGAAATAAGCTATTTGTTTAGAGATCTAAAGGACGTATTTAGTGCAGAGAATAAAATTATTTCCGTCAAGCGTATATTAATTTCCCTAGATTTTTTTCATATTTTGATTAGCGTTTCTTAAAGTTATTGTGAATTTGCGACCAAATGCGACAACGTAAACTGCTGCTACAAACCCATGATTTACAAAATATAACATAGGTTTGGAAACATAAGTCGTTGAGATATTTTTTAACGTTTTTGACAGTACTATACCATGTTATGTTGCAAATATATCCTATGTTACCTGTAAATTGAACCACCAAATATAGTTTGCATTGCCAAATGGACATGGCGTCTGCTTGGAATCTAGTTATTGACGTAAACCAGGAAACTCGGTATATTATTTTAGCACGTTTTGGCATCGATATTGTCTCAGTAATTGAAAAAAACGTAATTATGTATGCATTATTCTGGAAATATTATTTTATGAGCTTATTATGTGGAGGATGAAATGCGACATTAACATAGCAAAATGTTTGCTTTACACTGAGTCGTACAACTAATACGCGGTAGAAGACTTCATTATGAAACGTAAATTTACCACCAAAACTTCTGGATATATTGCGCGTACATTCGCCCGCATGTGAAACAATTAATTTAGACTTACCGTCACTGTTGAATTGGTGTTGGCGGCTGTGATGTCCCACAGGGGTTGTTCTGAACTGGATCCTATTCCATGAACGAATCCCGACATCTTTCCGATGCCAAAAATCTTGTTACGACATATTATGAAGTCATGGAATCGCCGTGGCCCGTGGCGGGCGGATCGATGGTCATCCGGGGGCGCGTACCCCGCTATGCGACCTGCGCCAGAGCTGACGCCGAATTTTGCTTGGCGCCCCAAGGACGTGGTGTTTCGGCACTGCGCGCACCCTCCGAGGGAGGGGTGTGGCTGCGGATGGCCGCGTGGGATTGGTCACAGGCGCCTGGTGTCGAGGGGGAGACGGGCTGTGCGGGACCTATGGCAGCTCCGCGCAACCCCCACGCGACCTCCCAGGCTGTGCCGTTCGGCTCCCCGCCTCGTCCATCCCCGTGGTGAGCTTTTGTGTCGGTTGGCTCGGGACTAATATGCGATCAGCGATACATTGCCTAGTTAATTAGATTTGATGTCACTTAAAATGTCGTGGTTTCTTGAGTGAACTCGCTACACTTACTATACTCAAAATGAGTTCTACCTTCGCTAGTTACATCGCAGCATATGTATATGGATTCGTTTGATGTGGTCGCAGATTTCGTTTGATGTGGATATGTGAAAGAATTGTCATTGAAATTTTTGTGGCAACTTTATCTCCCGTCAATAATTTTAAGTAAGCCATTTGTATTGTGATTCATTTCTGTGTCCGTGTTCCATATTTGTTTGTGTGTGCAGTTTCATTGGTGAATGTATACCAAAATTGGTATGTCTTAACTGATTGAATATCGTCGCTTTTAAGTAAAGATAAGATCACTTCAGGAGATTCCTTCTTACTAATGACCATCGTCAATATCAATCATTGCTTCATTTTGTTACATTTGTTATGCAGGCATTTTTCGTAAAATTCCCTATTCTGTCGCCTTATTAATAACGATGCTCTCAATTGTAAAGTTATATCTGGATTACTTATTCCGACTTGCATTCTCGAAAGTCCTTCAATTAGTTTCATTTATTGAGCGTGATATAGTAACAATAATTGTCGAATAAAATGCGTCTCTAGTTGTCTTTCTTGCAATAAATTGCCGCATTTTTATGAACATAAGATTATTTCTCGTGAATATGTATTGTGAACAAAATGGCAAACATAAGATTACTGAAACTATTAGTACTTTTAAGATAACACCATTCTTTTTTCGTTTTCAGCATGTCTCAATTTGACTTTCACGAAAAATAAGTTGATTTGTACGAATAATTGCACAAGTATAGCTGGTGGGCTAGGTTCATGTCAGATTGCGTCGCATATTGTTAATTAAAGTTAATATTGTCACATCTTTAAAAAATTTAATATTTGTTTTCTCCATGAAACGTTTGTATTTCTATACGCGTGCATGTCAAATCTGAGGTTACTGAATCCATATGTGTAGATGCAAACTTTTAAAAGTATACATTGAAGTGGATGAATATCGTAATTTTCAAACGCATTCTCTGAAAATCGACGATATTTAAAATTTATAGTGGTGTTGTGTTTATTAACGATATGTTTTTCCTGTTAGTGACAATTTCATTACAACTCTATAGCGACTGTAATACCCTAATTACTTAGCTATTTGAAATTGAATATCATAATCTCTTTTTCGAATACACCATATTTATGGCTGGTATTTCATCAAGGGAACTTTTTATTATTTCGAATCAATGTCGAAACGTCAGATCATTACTTCACTGTATGATGATGTATGATAGAGACAAAAATTCATGAATTATGACTAATAGCTTACTTTCTAATTTCTTACAATGATAGCATTTTAAAGCAAATTATGCTCTCATGTCCTAGTGGGAATTATCAAACATAAAAGTACCAGTAATACTTCGTGAAATGGTTTTGTGATGTATGTAAAATAGTAAGTTATAGATTTGCTTTGGTAAAAAAAATTGTTGTCATATATTTTTTAGCCCACCTACAATATATTAAATTTTTCATACTCTCTAAGACAGACCGATGGCATAATTTTGAAGCATATGTAGCCTATTTGTTCTCAATTTCGTATAATGAGACACATGTACAATATGTTATTTGCTTAATATATGATTATATTATAATACATCTCTTCAAAGACCAATTTTTGGCTTAGATTAACGTCATTTTGCTAGACTTTCCTCGAGAAGAGACCTCAAGAAATGATGGACATGTGTAGAAGATCAGCAATGATTTATTACACAGGCACACACTCAAAACAATGCCAGACCCAAAGACTTGACACATGTTTTAATATGCATGTCCACGTGCTAAATCCGAATCTGAAGCCAGAATTGCGCCTCACCCGCCAGTCTTTT